TTGCATTGTGGTAAACTGTGGTCAATGTCATGAGACAAAGTATATGTAAACTGCTATATGGAAAGTGAATTTGCTCTGTAAATCTTCACCCGAATCACAATAAAAAAAAAAAAAAAAGAAGAAGAAGAATATTGATGGACTGTGGATTGCATTGAATGTATGAATTGCTTTGAGGAGTATTGACATTTTTACAATATTCTGTCTTCCCATTCATGAACCTTCTGCCATTAATTTTATAAGACTATTCATATGTCATATTACATAAACCTCTTTGTATGCTTAACATGAAAAATATAAACTGTTAGGTATTCAGACAATGATGTTTGCAAGTGTCACAGGAAAACTACTGCATAAATAAAAATAAATTATGGTTCACAAATCTTTTTTTATATATGTACATATTAACTTCCTATAAACTTATCTGTGGGGAGATTATAAGATATTTACATGTCTCTCCAGTTTGCAGAATGCTGTTATATATACTCCGGATGCTAAAATTATTATATAGTTAAATAAATAATCAGAAGAGGGGGAATACTGGCCTGACAGCCAGAATAGAATGATATTTATTAATTTTCTGCAAAATAAGAAAAAATGCCTTATTTTTTATACAATGTATGTCTACCTTATATTTCATAAAACTGAACTTTGTATTTTTCATGCTAGAATTTGTAATTGTATCTCTGATTAAAAAATGATATTAAATGATAAAAGCATAACAAATAGTATAAATAATTTGTAACCAATAATCAATAAAACAGTGTCAACCTCTTTAGTAACTTAAAATTAGTACGATAATACTCCCTAACCAACAAAATAGTTAAAATTATTCTATTAGCCATTGATAACTTATGGAAATTTATATTGTCATAACGTATAAAATCAGCCTGTAATCTACATTTTTTTGACTCATTTTGAGGTATAATATACATATTCCAATTTGATTAAGTATTTTGTTGAAGAGTAAAAATATAGAATGCTTTACTAGTGGACTGATTTGAATGACTCAGCTGTCTTTAAAAATTGTGTAATGTCAGTTAAATTAATTTCTTTTATTTTTCTTTCAAAAAAGCAGTCTTGGTGATGATATGATTCAAAACCATCCCATTTACATACAGTTTCTTAATGTGCTCAATGTTGTGGTTTTTTTTTTTTTTGAGGTATTTGAAGATAATCTTTCCTTAAACTGAAAATAAGTTTGAAAAGTAAAGCCTGACACAACCTCCTTACGGTCATGTTGCCTCTCTTTGTTGTATGCCAACACCACCAAAAGACAAATAAATACTATGAAGCCACTCTGCATATCAGATCAACAGAGCATTTCATATTTGGATTTAGAGAATGTTAACCTAGATCCCTTTAAAGCTATCTAGTCCAAATGCCCCATGTAAAATAGGAATACTTTTATCACTTTGAATGCCTGCCCTTTCACGCACTTGAACATATTCCATTGAGGGGTGAATTAGCACATTGCAAGCAGCAGAGAGTAGAAAGGAAGATTCTTGTGATTAAGTGAAGGTATTTCTTCTCTGAAATGTCTATGGACTCTCTATAGTCTACAAAACAAACCTTTGTAGTCAAGCCTTTGTCCTCATAGTAGCAATTATCGAAAGATACTTGAAGGAACCTGTTAGATTTTCCTTGAGTCTTTGCAGTTTAAACATATTAAGCCTCTTAAATATGTAGTCAAAGGACATTACACTTGGATCTTCAATCTCCTAGTAGCATTCTCTCTGAATATACTCCTTTTATTTTTCTCAAACAAAGAGCACAACTCCCTAGGCCAGCCCCTTCAAACTACAGCAGGCTCTTACTACAAAAGTTCTAGACATTACACTTCAATGAACGCAGTCCAAAATTCTATTAGCTTTTTGAGCAGTTGTATTGCTCTTTATTCAAAAAGCCATAAAACACAATTACCAAATCATTTAACCATATTTTTAAAAGAACAAAGCACAAAGCTACCAAACAAGTGTAGGCAACAGTAACTGAATTAAGGGTGTTGTTCTGGTTACCTAGTGCCACTCTGACAAGAATATACGCCACAAATGGGATGGCCTTAACAAACAGGAGTTTATTCTCTCACAGTTTGGAGGCTTTAAGTCCAAGTTCAAAGTGCCAGGCTCTAGGGGCTGTATGAAAGCCCCTCGACCTTGGGCTTCAGCTCTGCCTCTTGCTCCCGGCCCACTGAAGCTAGAGGCATCTCTTCACTCAGGCAGCTACTGGCTGCTGAGGCAAACAAGCCCAAGGGTGACAAATAAAATGACACAGTCCTGATGTTACCAAATCACATGGCAGGCCTGAATTCCTTTGTAAGTCCCAAAGTTGGCAGAGTATGGCAGGCTGCTGAACAATGACAAGGCTACATGCAGGGTTCAAGTGTGCCATAAGCTAGAGACTGTTTCCAAAGCTGTTTCTCCTATACAGGAAGCAGACTACGCACCCAAAGGCAGCTACTCAGGTGCTCCCAGTAGATTCCACCATGGAGTTGATTACCAGTCTCATCATGGGGAATACTACATCCAGTTGCCCAGCCACTCAACCAGGCCTAGCCAAGTTGACAAACAAACATAAATACCACAGGTGTTAATTAGGAGAACAGAATAGATAGAAAAACTATATGCAAAGTGGAGAAAAAGTAGAGACTGACTATACTGATGCTTGGTTGCCACTTTCATAGAAAAAGAATAAATAAGAATAAACTAAGTTTTACACAATACTGTAATTCTACAGAGCTTATGTTAATAGTTCCTTAATGATTCAGATGGCATTTCAGGACCTTGAAGTGGTTCAGGTTCATCTTTATGAATATTTATTATCATTGTGTCACAGTATGTTGCCTGCAGAAGCTGCATGAGTAGTATTTGTAGATTTGATTAGGCTGAAGCTGCGTGGGACTGCGTGCTAATAGACTGCTGATTAACAGAATGCCACAAGTAAGTGTTTACTGTGGCATTTTCCAGTTCTTTTTTTTTCTGTGCATATATAATTATTTTCTAAATTAGCATTTTTGGAGAACATGTATATGCTAATTTTTATCCAGAAAAAAAAATAGTAACAGATAATATCTTCAGAAGTCAGATGTTGTGTTATCACGGGGACATTGAACCAGAAAAAAAACGTAAGACATGCTAGCAATACACCAGATAAGAAATGTCTTCTCTGTTCTAAGTGGCCATAAGTGGGGGTGGCCCCCTTTGCTTGAGGTTGGGCTTAATTGTTCTTGTCATGCTTTATTGTACCTGGCCAGTTACTTAAGAATCTTGTTAAAAAACAGTCTCAATCAAGAGGTCTGCGGTGGGGCCTAAGATTCTGCATTGCTAACAAGCTCTTAAATTATATGGATACTGCGACTCCTTGGGACAAACTGTGAACAGCAAGGGCTGGAACATGCAGACAATTAATGTGTTAGCTTTCTGCTCTTGGGATGTTACTGCCCACCCAGCTAACATGGCTTACCTCTCAACATAAACCAAAAGCCCAGAGAGAAAATTCTGCTCACAATCAACACCGTAAGTCTGGGCCATACACCTTTCCCTGACAGCATTTTTACCCTATAAAGAATGGCTTATTAAAGCAATTTAAAAACCAAGGTTAAAGGCTCAAGATAACTTTACTATGAAGTGTTCATGAAAGGATAGACCTTGAACTAGAACTAGTCCATGGACTTAAAAAAAAAAAAAAAAGCAATATTCCTATTTCAGAATTTAAGTCACTGACTTTAAACTGTAAACCTGTTATCTCTTTTCATACCTTTTTTTGCATTTTTTGTCAAATTCCATTTAATAAAGTTCATTTTTGACATAAACTTGCTGCAAAGTACACCTTCCTTAACTCTAGATTATAGCTTAACCTACTTTTATTTCCTGAGGGAAGAAAGATAACTTGAAAAAGTCAAATAAAATTGAGCTCTTTCAAATTTGCCTTTAATAATTTTGTATATTTAAAAAACATAATTAATTAACATTTGTTTGTGTGCTGATGGCTGTTAAACAAAGGTTTTAAAGTATTGATTCCTCCAAGCAGATTAGGCAGTCCAACTAAAATTGTATTTACATTATTGATTTGCTTAGATAATCTATTCTAATGTAGATGTAAAGTTTTATGTAATTCTCCATTAGTTGAACTTGATACAGGTGTTTTCATAAAATACACATTAAATACTTAAATCAAGTGAAAAATGGACTCAGTTTGTGTATAGTTTGGTGGTTATCTTGATTGTTAAAATTGTTTTAATTTAATCATTTAAAATCTGGATTCAGTTTTATTTAAAATAAATTGCTATATATGCTGTATGATAAAAACATACACTCAAGTGATAATTCACTTTGAGTGTTTGAGTTACTTTCTAGATTCAGCAAGTATAGTTCATTTTAGCTATTTTTGGCTTATTATTTATAGTTTTGTAACAATAATCATGAAAATGTTCAGGTTGCATTTTGGGGTATTTTCCAATTAACAATTATGTTGGAATTCATAAGCTGACATCTCAGGTACGAACATCCATACATGCAGCTAACATACACATTATACACACACACATACACACACACAGGTACGCCTGAGTCTTGATCCCTGTTATCAGAGGCAAGTATATTATTCTAACAGTGAGAGAAAACTTTTAAGAATCATCATCAGGAGTTTATTAACACAGCTATAAAGAAGAAATATGATCTTTCATTTCCTTCTTTGGTTTATATTTGTTTCTCTCTGTAGTGTGATTATTTAAAACAGAAAGGGAAGATTGGTTTCCCTGTGATCCCCACACTTCCATCAGTGTTTCTCTGCCCTCTTGCGGTGCCATGTAGGAGCTCCTTTTCTGTTAATTGCACACTTACCTCCTGTTAGATACTTTTTCCTCTCACAGAATTGCAGTTCCAAATACTTTATGAAGCAACTGGACACATCATTAACAGGTGTCTTGGCATGTCCAAATGCTTCTAAAATACACATAACCTGTAATGAAAAAGAAACAATTATTGAGTTTTCAAAAACAAAATTCAGAAACAATTGTTGGCAAAGATGCAAGAATATTCCATTATCTAAAAGGTCTATACTATCCTATTGATATATCAAATTTTTTTGGTTACTCTTTCCTCAACTGTGAACAACTAACAACCTTTGTCTCATATTTTGGCTAACGGTAATAAAATAATGATAGAGTACTTCACGGTAATCTCCAGTGTACATAATGATGGTCCAGCCCAAACCAGCCCCAATGTTGTTGAGTATTATAACTCATAGCAACCCTACACAACAGAGTAGAACTTCCCCTTGGGGATTCTAAGGCTGTAAATCTTTATAAAAGCTGAAGGCCTCATCTTTCTCCTGAGGAGAAGCTGTTGGTTTTGAACTGCAGACATTTGGTTTACAGGTAAGCACTTAAATCACTGCACCACCAGGGCTCCTATCTAATTGATGAGACCATTGTATTAATGACAAAACCCAACTCAATAAATCTTATTTGAGCTTTGAACTTTCATAGAACACTACGAGTGCTTTTCCTGTTTTAGAGGGGAAGTTTTAACATTACTATATACAATGAACCCAACAAACCCAAACCATTACAGTGGAGTTAGAGATCCTCCAGGACAGAGTAGAACTATCCATTGGGTTTCCAAGGATGTGATCTTTTCAGAAGTAGACTGCCACATCTTTCTTCCACAGAGCCCCTGATGGGTTGGAACCTCTGACCTTGATCTTTCAGTTAGCAGCCGAGTGCTTTAAATGCTGTGCCACTATGGCTCCTTCTCTACATGCAATAGTTAAAACTTTCAGAAAATAATTAATTCACTATAACCTTGGCTTAATATTTCTTCTTAAATACTTATTTACATCCCATACAAACTCTTTTAGACCTTTAGTCTCTTCTTACCCTCCCTCTACCTTGTTTTTTGCCTCAAGCCAATGTTTCTCTTCCGCAAAAACAAGAATAAAAATTCTAGTTGAAGCATTTTATCCCAGTGTTTCTTGTTGCATCATGTTTGTTCTAGGCTTTGAAAATATGACTACTCAAACTCCTGAGATCAACCCTGGACTCTAGACTTATTTCCGAGCATGTTCTCTTCTCATTGACTATATATATATATATATACACACACACACACACAAGACATTTCTTTTTCATAAAATTATTGCTCTTGTGATAATGATGGTGATCAAAGAACTTTTTCTTTCTCAAACCAAAAACAAAACTTGCTGCCGTGGAGTCGGATCCGACTCATAGCGACCCCTCCTTGGGTTTCCGAGACGGTTTCACTGCAGAAGTAGATTGTCCAACCTTCCTTCCGAGGAGTGGCTGGTGGGTTTGAACTGCCAGCCTTCTGGTTAGCAGTCAAATCTCTTAGTCACTAAGCCACCAGAGCTCCCTTTTCTTTCTCAAGACACACATAAATTAAATGCAGTTTGTACATTAGCCACAAGAGGGAGCACAACAATACCTTTTTCATACATTAGGTTCCTCTTGTTGTATTGTAATTTGTAGTGAGGGTATTTCTTGAGAATTTTATTCCAAAATACAAAAAGAAAAGAAAGAAAGGAAACCTAAAACACACACAAAAAATGAAACTATCTTTTCAATTTTCTGGCAACTGGTATAATAAAGCATTCAATTTACCTAAGTATTTTCAATTATGAAAGAATATAAAACAATACTTTGATGATAACCACAAAGCAAAAGAGCTAAAAGTTGTAATAATAGTGAAATATGTCAGCACAAAATAATCCAAGAAAAGGAAGACACTTGTAGGAGCACAAGACTTAGAGGCAATAAAGGTAAATACTATACGTAATCTATGAGTAGTCACATAGACAAACACTCAAGCTAAACAGGGATGGGAAGGTGAAGGGGACCACAGTCACGACTATATAGTGTTTGACAGAGGATATGTCTACATATGTATTTATATGTGCTGCAAATATATCAATGAATATAGTAGAGCATGTTGTAGTTATTGTTGTTAGCTGCCATGGAGTAGGCTCTGACTCATAGCGATGCTGTGTACAACAGAAAGAAACACTGCCCAGTCCTGTGCCAGCCTCACAATCCCTGCTATACCTGAGCCCATTGTTACAGCCACTGCGTCAATCCACCTCGTTGAGGGTCTTCCCCTTTTTCATTGACCCTCCACTTTACCAAGCATGATTCCTTCTCCAGGGAACTGTCCTTTCTGACAACATGACCAAAATAGGTCAGACGAAGTCTGGCCATTCTCGCTTCCAAGGAACATTCTGGCTTCCCTTCTTCCAGGACAGATTTCTTTGTTCTTTTGGTGGTCTGTGATACTTTTAGTATTCTTTGCCAACACCACAACTCAAAAGCATCAATTCTTCTTTGGTCTTCCTTATTCCTTGTCCAGCTCTCATATGCATATGAGTCAATTGAAAATACCATGGCTTGGGTTAGGTGCAACTTAGTCTTCAAGGAGACATCTTTTCTCTTCGGCACTTTAAACAGTACTTTTGCAGCAAATTTGCCCAGTGGAATACACCATCTGATGTCTTGACTGCTTTTTCCACTGGCATCAATTGTAGAACCAAGGAATGTGAAGTCCTTGACAATTTCAATATTTTTTTTCCATTTATTGTGGCTCTGCTTATAGGTCCAGTTGTGAGGACTTTTGTTTTCTTTATATTGAAATGTAATCCATACTGCAGACTGTATTCTTCAAACTTCATCAGTAAATGCTTCAAGTCATCCTCACTTTCAGCAAGTAAAGATGTGTTGTCAGCATATCGCAGGTTGTTAATGAGTCTTTTTCCAATCCTCATACCATGGTCTTCTTCATATAGTCCAGTTTCTTGGACTATTTGTTTTGCATACAGATTGAATAAGTATGGTGAAAGGATACAACCCTGACACACTCCCTTCCTGATTTTAAACTATGCAGTATTACCTGTTCTTTTCAAGCAACAGCCTCCTGGTCTATGTACATGTTCCTCAAGAGCACAATTAAGTGTTCTAGAATTCCCATTTTTCTCAATGTTATACATTATTTGTTATGATCCACACAATTGAATGCTTTTGCCTAGTCAATTAAACACAAGTCAACATTCTCTGGTATGCTTTGGTTTCAGCCAAGATCTATCTGACATCAGCAATGATATCCCTCATTTCACGTACTCTTTTGAATTCAGTTTGCATGTCTGGAAGTTCTCTGTCAATATACTGCTGCAATCATTTTTGAATTACCTTCAGCAAGATTTTACTTGCATGTGATATTAATCATATTGTTTGATAATTTCTACGTTCTGTGGGATCACCTTTCTCTGGAATGGGTACAAATATGGATCTCTTCCAGTCAGTTGACCAAGTAGCTGTTTTCCAGATTTCTTGGCACAGACAAGTGCCAAGCTTCCAGCAGAGCATCCATTTATTGAAATATCTCTGTGGGTTTTCCATCAATTCCTGGAGCTTTGTTATTTGCCAGTTCCTTCAGTGCAGCTTTGACTTCATCCTTCAGTACCATTTATTCTTGATTATATGCCATCTCCTGAAATGGATGAACATTGATCAATTCTTTTTGGTACAGTGACTCTGTGTATTCCTTTCATCTTCTTTTGATATTTCCTGCATCATTCATTATTTTGCCACAGAATTGCAACTTGAGGCTTGGATTTTTTCTTCAGTTTTTCAGCTTGAGAAATGCTGAGTATATTCTTCCCCTTTGGTTTTCAAACTCCAGGTCTTTGCACATTTCATTATAATAACTGACTTTTTATTCTTGAGCTGTTCTTATTCTGTTCAGCTCCTTCATCCTGTCAATTCTTCCATCCACTTTAGCTACTCTCTGTTCAAGGGCAAGTTTCAGAGACTCTTCCAATATACATTGTGGTCTTTTCTTCCTTTCTTGTCTTTTTAATGACCTTTTGCTTTCTTCATGGATGATGTTCTTGATGTCATCCCACATTTCCTCTGTTTTTCAGTCATTGGTGTTCAATGCTTCAAATCTATTCTTTAGGTTTTCTCTAAATTCAAGAGAGATATTTTGGGTCTCGTGGACTTGTTTTAATTGTCTTCAGCTTCAACTTGAACTTGCATATGAGCAGTTGATGTTTGTTTCACAATAAGCTCCTGGCCTTATTTTGGCTGTAGATATTGAGGTTCTCTGTCACCTCTTACCACAGATGTAGTCAATCAGATTCCTGTGTACTTCATCTTGGGAAGTCCACATGTATAGCTACCTACCACTTATGTTGTTGAAAAAGGTATTTGCAATGAAAAAGTCATTGGTCTTGCAAAATTCTATCATGCGATCTCCAGTTTTATTTCTATCACCAAGGCCATATTTTCCAACTACCAGTGATTCTTCTTTGTTTCCAACTTTTGCATTCCAATCACTAGTGATAATCAACACATCCTGATTGCATGTTTGGTCAGTATTAGACTGCAGAAGTTGGTAAAAATCTTCAATTTCCTGGTCTTTGGCTTTGGTGGTTGGTGTGTAAATTTCAATAATAGTACTATTAACTTGTCTTCCTTGTAGGTGTATGGATATTATCCTATCGCTGACATCATTGTACTTCAGGATAGATCTTGAAACATTTTCTGTGGTGATAAATGCCACACCATTCCTCTTCAGTTTGTCATTCCCAGCATAGTAGATCCTATAGTTGTCTGATTCAAAATGCCAAAACCAGTCTATTTCAGCTCACTAATGCCTAAGAAGGAGCTCTGGTAGAGTAGTGCCTAAGGCATTTGACTGATAACCAGAAGGGGGTGGTTTAAACCCACCAGCCACTCCTCGGAAGGAAGGTTGGGCAATCTACTTCCATAGTGATACAGCCTCAGATCCCAAGAAGGGGTTGCTATGAGTTGGGCCTGACTTGCCAGTAAATAACAACAACAACAATGCCTAAGATATTGATCTTTATGTGTTCTGTTTCATTTTTGACAACTTCCAATTTTCCTAGATTGAGACTTCATACATTCCATGCTCTAATTATTAATGGATGTT